AGCACTTTTGAAAAACTAATGGGAGTCTTTCAAACAGTCAGAGGAGAGAAGACTGAGTTCTGCTAAGGTGCAGACATAACTGATTGTCAGCCATTATTCTAAAGGTTATAAGATATGCAACTTCCTCAATTACTCCTTCAAATAATGTCACTATTGTAGAACCTAAGATTGGCCTTTTGAGGTATCTTTTCAGGTTTTTTTGAATGTCTGACACTCATAGCTCCACCTGGACCCCATGACTCCTATGGCCCCACCTGGGCAGACTCAGCTCAAGAGGACAGCTTCGACCTTCTATGATTTCATCCCCAACCCAACCAGTTGCAGCAAGCACCCATTGCCTAGCAATCCCCACCCCTTCACTCAAACTACCTTTGAGATACCCCTCACCTACAAGCTTTAGATGAGATTGATTTGGGTACTAACTCCATTTCCCATCTGGTGCAGCCTGCCTCGCGTCTATTAAACTCTTTATTGCAATGCCATGGTCTTTATGCAGAAGGCGGGAAGAACCCCTCAGGCAGTGACTCTATCATTCCCCTTGTTTAATCAGCAGCAAGAGTGTCCACTGCATTGTGTGAATGTTTTTACAAGCAAAAATACCCAAAGAAGTAAAACATTCATTTCTCAGTTTCTGAGTTTTAAAACGGAAATTTGAAACTCACAGGAGAGAAAATAATTGAGAAAAGGGGTTTTGAGTGTGGGGAAAAAAATGACTGAGCATCCACAATCGGAGGCGTAAAGGACTCAGGGCATTAAGATTACTATGTGAAAAATTTAGAGAATGTACATGGAAATACGAGCCAGTTTTCCCATTCCTGAATAGGTACAGGACCTACCCTCCAAAGGCAAATGGGGACATCAGAAGAGTTGGTAACCTTCCTTGAGAAGGTGTCCTGAACCTACCCTACTGAGCTGAGCACCAAAGGCCAGGGATGGGGGTAGGAAAACAATAGAACTCTTAAGAGATGTGAAAGCAGAAAACATGTGCCTCACTTTTCAGGGTCCCAGCCAAGACCCAAGATACACCTGATGGGTTGCAGCAGAAGGGTGGGAAAGTAGCATGCAGCGCTGATGAGCCTAAAGAGGCCTTATAGCTGGAACAACGAAGATGCAAAGTGATCCATGACAACTAAAGCTAAGACCACAGGAAACCCTAAATATCTCAGCAATGCCAGGGTCAACGAATGACAACACCCAGACCAGGAGTCCCCTACCCATTAGCACCGACATCATGAAAACTTTCCTGAAACTTTTAGGTAATCCTAGGAAGAGGAGAGAAATTACTGATATCACTGAATTCATCTTGATTGTTCAATAAGAAATTAGTTTTACAAGGTCAAATGCAGGCATAGAAATGAGATCATGCTGAGGCATAGAAATATAAGGAGAGTCTTATATATATAGTACACCTCTGTTTGTGGCCTGTGAAATTTCAGCCTTACAAAAGTCTAGTAAAACCATCTTTCTTTAAATTAATTAGAAGAAAGCTACAAAATAGAGAAAGGTTGTAGACAGAATGCCAACATTTAGGTTGATGAGATCAGACCTGCAGAATACTGGCCCCAGTAATAAACTAGAAATAATTAGAATACACAGAAAACTAAGTGATTTTGATCCCAGAATCCCAGAAGATAACCTTTAAGTAATCAGGTTTTAGACCATGCTGTTCTGAAGATAAGAAGCACCAAGTGAGCAGGCAAATTGACAATCCTGAGCAGTAGCTAAATGAGCAAAAAGATTTCTAAGGCTATGGAAGGGCCCAGTAAAAGGTGGTTTCTACTTATTTTTACTCAGTAGGAAAAATCAAGGTCAAAATTGAGTAGTAATTACAAATAGTTTAAATGTAGTACTGAAGAGGTCATAATAGTTATGTTTATTTCTCAATATGGGTTGAATTTTGGCTTACAGTTTCTGAATAAATAATAATTAGAAACACTTTTATTTAGGTTATTTTAATATGTTTATACAAATAAATGAAATATAGACATACAATATAATATTACATATTATATGATATGTTATTAAGTATATAAATTAAAAGAATATACATATATACATATCAAAATTATACATATGTATTCCTACATTTCATTTAACATTTCTTTAGCGAACCTGGTCTAGGGTGAGCCTAACTATTTGATCTACCCAGCCCAAGTCAAGCAGAATAATAATAACAAATTAAATTAAATGGCATATGCACTGAGTGATACCTCATATGCATAATGAGTTCCAAAAGCATTGACTCACACATATAATGAGTTCTAAAAGCACTTACTGGTCTAAACATTGACTAGATTAACTTTTTAATATGGGTTGAATTTTGGCTTAAATTTTCTGCACAAATATTAATAATTAGAAATGTTTTGTATTTAGGCTATTTTAATGCATATTCTTAATATATTACATGCTATATGATATGATATTCAGTATATAAATTAAAAGAATATACATAACAAAATTACATATATGTATTCCTATGCTTCATTTAACATTTCTTTGGTTAAACTGGTCAAGGGCAAGCCTATTGATCTACCCAGTCCAAGCCAAGCAGAATAATAACAAATCAAATTAAATGGTATCTGCTGAGCTATATCTCATATGTATAATGAGTTCCAGAAGCATTGACTAACAAGCTTCTCACTCCTCAAGAATACACAAAGGACAAGATGCTAGAATTCAAGGAGGTCAAGTTGAGCAGTTCAGCTGACAGGAGAGAAGATGATCGGTAACAAACTGGGAGAAACTGAAGAAGGGCCTCCTGGCAGTCAGGATCCAGATTCACTGAGCAAGAGCAACAAAGTATCAGGGCCAATGATATATGGGGGATGGCAAACAGAGAGGTGAGGGGGATGGCAAAAAGAAAGCACATTCTGAGACATTGCAGCAACTGTATACTATGTCAAACCACAGGGCAACAAAGTAAACTTCAACGTCACATACCAGTGTGATGGATGTCTACACATGGTTTCCTGGGCATACTTCCACAAACTATTGAAAAGCAAAATTTTCATCATTGGTACATTTGCCCAGTTTCTAAAATAGTACCTGTTAAGTGGTAGGATTTGGATTACATATAATTCAACTTTAACTAGCACTGATTTATTTAAATTTCTTTTTTGAAAGTTGCAGATAAGAGCTAAAGGGAGAGCTAGAAAAGAAGAACCTAACTCATAATGCTTCATTTCATGAAAATATTTTTCTACTTTATAGTCAATTATAAGACAGAAGATCATGTTCCCTAAGGCTGCATTTTTGTCCAAGAACTTTTCTATTATTAAGCTATCCGTATAGATTTAGAGTGGTGAAAACATCCCTCAAAGCTTCCTCTACTCGTCATGTAGAGTTTGGACATAACAGTCAACTGGAGCCATCAGGAATCTAGCTCATGACATGTGATATGGTTTGGGTGTCCTCTCAACCCAAGTCTCATCTTGAATTGTAGCTCCCATAATTCCCATTTGTCATGGTCGGGACCCAGTGAGAGGTAACTGAATCATGGGAGTAGGACTTTCCCATGCTGCTCTCATGACCCTGATTAAGTCTCACAAGATCTGATGGTTCTATAAAAGGGAGTTCCCCTGCACATACTCTCTTGCCTGCCAACATCTAAGAGGTGACTTTGCTCTCCATTCACCTTCTGCCATGATTGTTATGCCTCCCCAGCCATGTGGAATTGTGAGTTAATCAAACCTCTTTCCTTTATAAATTACCCCATCTTGGGTACATCTTTATTAACAGTGTGAGGGCAGACTAATACAATATGCAACCAAAAGATCTTTGTACAACTTCAAAAATTCTGCAATTTGGAGAAAGGAATATTTCCAGAACCCAGGCTCTGACTTAAGAAGTTATCTCTTATCTGGAGGGAACTGTGTTGCTATGGGTCCCTGAGACCAGTGGTCTCCAGAGTGAACTGCGAGAACATTTGAGGGTAGGATACCCATTAACATAATTGATTAGGATACAGGAAGAAATAATTATAACTTCAATCTACCTTTATTTTTATCTTTAAAATAGAAGACAAAAAATAGAAGGTGCTAATATTTAATATGAAGTTTGATAGTATTACCTTTATGTCATTTATATTGAGGGCATGTGTTGGAAAATATTTTTTCAATATAGGGGGAAAAAAAACATGAAAGTGTGAAGACCACTGCTTTAGACTCTACCAGTAATTCCTGACAGGTGTAAGGAAAAAGGAGAAATCACGGCTGCTTTAACACCTTCTATGCATCAAATGACAGAATAATATGCTTTATCTCTTTGAATTCCCACCATAACCCAATGAGACAGATATTATTATTCCTGTTACACAAATGAGGAAATAGGGATTCAACAAAGCTAAATATCTAGCTCTAGGTCACAAACCTGGCCAGTACTCGTGATGGGATTAAACTCTAGTCTTGTTCTTTTCCTTACTCCACAATATCTGAAGAACTGCCACCTCTGAAAATACCATTTACCATGGTACTCAAGCCTGCAGAAACTGCTCGTGTTCTTAACACAAGCTTCCCTTGGGACAGCACACATGGTAAACTCTTACTCTATAAATAATTTGAGTGGTAGAATGTCCCTAATCATGCTTCAAAGTCCATGCAACACAGTAAGTACTGTCAGGCATTATATGATTCATAAAAGTTATTCTTATTACTGAAATAATTCATATAAATCAATAGTACCCTATTCAATAGAGAAGATAAGCCCCCAATGGATGGGGTATACAAATTTGGTATATATTAAAAATGTATGTGTGTGAGTGTGTGTGTGTGTGTGTGTGTGTGTGTAAAAGAGAGATAGAGAAGAGAAAAGTGGAGGAGCAGAGACAGAAAGAGAGAAGAGAGATACCACGAAGAAAGGCTTAGACATTCATCCACAGAGTTCAGGAGTATGTGAAGAATAGAGATTCTAAGTTCTCTCAGTCTCCAGCATTCCCTATCCTTTTTACACTATGAAGTTTTAAGTGGTCAGAAAACGCATGTGTGAAAGAGTAATGCAGTTACCTTTGTCAGTTTCATCTCCAGCACATGGCTGCTATGGATCCGACTGTCGAAATGAGCTACTTCTTTGGAAGAGGACTTAACCTTGGCAATGATCTTTACGTAGGAGAACACAATCACAGCCGTTGGGAGCAAGAGGCAGAAGAAGAGGATGTTCAGGATGAAAACCTGGCCCCCTACCGAGGCCTGGGCCAGCCACCAGTCCAGGGTGCATGAGGTTCCAAACGGTTCAGGTGCGTAGTCCCCCAGACCTACCAAGGGCATGGTGGTCCAGAAGGAAGCATAGGCCCAGATAGCTGCCAGGCAGATGTAGGCGTGCTTTCTTTTCAGCCAAACCCCTGGAGGCGGAAGAAAAGCATTACCGGCATGTAATCTGCCCTACACCCAGATACCTCCCCTCGATATGTCAAATTCCACCTCCAAAGATTTATTCCATTGATTTCTGGGAGACCTGGGCAGATAACTGAAGCCTGAGGGAGAGTGGAGTAAACGGAAGAAAGTTCCAGAGCTTGGGCCTTTCTCCAGGAGAACACAATTGGAAGGTTTTCTCTAGGCATCTGGGAGCTTTGAGAGGGAGAAGGGACAAAAGCTGGGAAAAGGGACAGGAAAGAGATGAGAGGATGCTGAAGACAGTGGAGGCCCCTGAGAAAACATCTCGGAAAGGGTGTGTTAGTGGATCATCCAGGGAGAATCCTTCTGGGAGGTGAGGAATCACAAAACATGGCTTGTGTCTTTAAAATGCCCTTCCTCCTAACAGCTTTTGTGTCACTAGTCTCAGCTGGCTTCCTAAGAACTCGTGGAAGGGGCTTGGTGGCTTGTGGTCATGGCACTACGGTGTGAGGTTAAAGTGATTGACTGTGCTTGGTAATCTGTGGAGCAGGTTTGGAGTCTTCAAACATCATTCACACAACAATCACACTCACACAGCCGCAGCGGGAGAGGCAGAGAATCTAGGTAGGTTGCATCATGTTCTGCAAAAGTAATTCTGTGAAGATATTTTCAGGAAGACAAAAAATGAGCTCCGTTTTTTCAGCACTAATTTCTGTTAACCAAAAGAGAATTCCAAGAGAAGGAAATAGTGCAGTCATCTAAGAAAAGCTGTAAAGCACTAGCGATCATTTTCAGAGTTCAACACAACCACCAAAGACAGGTCGGCCTGATTTAGTGCAGCAGCCACCATGGGAAATTACCTTCACACCTCACTCATCACCTCGAACGAAGAGGGCTGGGGAAGTGACTCCTTACTGCCTTGGTTTTGTGTTTAGCAGAGAAGGAATATCAAAATACATTTGACAAAAGCTAGATGATTACGTCAACACAGACTCGAGGCCTGCCTCTGCTTAGTGCAACACGAGGTTTGAGAAGTCAGTAAGGCCTAATTCTTCTGTGTCTGGTCTTTGACCTTGTACATGTAACTTTTCTAGATATCTGGTGTCCTTAGCAGTAAAATGGAGGAAGTAAAAATATATTGCATGTGGGTTAAATAAAATAATGTAAGGGGCCTGCTTTGCAAACTAGAAAGTGCTACATTAACATGAATGTTTTACTCCTGTGTAAGTGTATCTTTTTTAGTGCTAACAAGAAATATAACAGATTGTTTCTATATTCTATTGTCTCCATTTTATCAAATATGTGGCACTTTTTATCACGAAATGCAAATTTCATGCCCAACCAGATAGGAGTAGCAATCATGTAGCCACACTATAAACCAGCTCTTGCTTCTCCATTAAAACCGATAAAACACTGGCACAGGTAATCACATATATTCATGGGAATGTGCATAGGCATACGTATAAGCATTTATGGTTAGGGTTACTTGTGAGGTGTTTTATACTTACATTCCAGTATGGTGAAAGGCTGTCAAGTACAGGAGGGAGTAGATTAGTAGATTGGTTCTGTGTTGCTCCAGAAGTCAGAACTAGGACCAATGGGTGGAGGTTACTGGGAGGCAGTTTTGTCTTAATATAAGGAATAACATTGTAACAATGAGAGCAGACCAATCAGAGAATGGGCTGCCTTGTGCAGTAGTAAGCTCCCCGTCACTGGTCACTGGTATTACTCAAGAAGAGGCCAAGTGGTCGTCTCTCAGGGATGCCTTAAAACAGTTTACCACGTTACATGGGAGAAAAGACTACATGTCCCCAAGCGACCTTCTAATTCCAACATTCTGGGACGCTGTGTGGAGGGTTTAATAGTGCATCAGATTAAATGATGAAACCACACTACTGAGGTTCAACCTTAGAAGAAGCTGGAAAATATACACAGTTCCCACACACGGAGTTACGACCTGCAATGATCCTGGCAGTGGGCATCATCATCTCTTTAACTGACAAAGCCTAAACTCAAGAAAATATTTAAAAACAGAGGCATCAGGGTTTAATATTTCTCAAATACTCTTAGGAAGTTTAACTTTTTTGCCTTCTTATCTATAAAATCTATAGTTAAATTTCAAATCTCTTTGGTATGAACAAAAATAAATCTATAGAAAGAATTAGATGTTGACGTCATACAGAATATGTATAGCTGCATATTTTATATCTTATTGGACATTTTGATTCAAGCTATTTCTATTGGAAGTTTTAAATGTTTAAAAAAGGAGATGGAAACTTAAAAAAAAAAAAAAGGAGTGCTGGATGATGAAGAGGGTGGTTCACAAGTCCCTGTCTTCCACCCACCCAAGCATGGATTCTTTGGAGTTTGGGAACTATAAACTGCAACAATACAAAGGGAGATTTCCACCACCGTGACAGTGTCAGGTCAACTTGATTGTTCCCACCTCAGTCTCCAGGCCCTGCTCTGACACCACAGTCTGTCATCCGTCACGACCACTCTAATTGACAGGCTGACAATCAAAGCAGCTTTATCCAGAGGAAGTCAGTACTATTCCTTGGTTGTGGCTGGTTCTCAATATTCAACTTAAAGGCCCAAATGCCCAAATTCTTTCAGGCTTAATAAATTCCAAGAGTGCCAAGAAACAAAAGTACTAGAAATTATTTTTAACCTGTAGAATAGTCTAATCATTAAAAAATATATATATAATGAGGCCTTGGAAACTTATTTTCTGCTGATTCACCAATTCTTGTAATCACTCATCTTTCTACCAACCAATACCACAAAAAAAATATGTTGAGTGATATTTCTACATGTGTGTCCTTTCATGCAGAAACAGCTACATGACTCTAACTTGGAGATAAACCTTTTGGAATTCCTTATCTCTGAAATCAGAGGAAGCATGAGTCCTAAGGGAGAATCTTAAACAACTTTTCTTATAATTACACTTACTAGGTGGGGAATGAGCTAGACATCTTAGACTTAACACCGTTTTGATGCACTTTATTTCTTTTGTTTGCATGGAAAAACATGATGGAAGCTTACACGCTATACAAGGAAATGATACTTTCTAAAAAGCATCGTAGCCAAACGCCAGACATTACTATAAAATATGTATTGAAAGAAATCTACTTTGACATAGGTACAAATCCTTAAACATGTCAGAACAAGATAGGCTACAAGTAGAAATATTCTTGATCTCTGAGGTTATTAATAGTCTTTGTTTATTATCTGCATAAAACATGTACAGTTCTAACACTCGATCCACCTAGCTTTAACTGTCAGGGAATGAGAAACCTGCCAACTTACCATAAGATAAATAGCAGATTTTCAAGTATCGATCCAGGCTGACAGCAGTCATGGTGATAAGGCTTCCACAGCCAAAGAAAAATCCAGCCCATCCATACCAGCGGCAGCCGATCCAGCCAAACACCCAGCGGTGACAGAAGCAAGAGATGATGGTGAACGGCTTGCCTACAACTAGAGCACCAAGTGAGTTGTCAGCAGACATTCCCTATGGTTACTATTTCCCCACCTACCTCAACTCACCTGAACCTCCTCCACTAAGCACAGGGGCACATGTAAACACACACACACACACACACACCCTTGATTCATAAAGTCCAGTAGTTATCTGTGAATAAACTCAGTTTGAAGCTACCCAAAGAGGACTTTCCATCTCAATAGCCAAAGACAGTGAAAGAATATCGAAGGAAAACTTTTAAGTAATTATTACTTTTTTAAAAACTGACTCAGGCCGGGCGCGGTGGCTCAAGCCTGTAATCCCAGCACTTTGGGAGGCCGAGGCGGGTGGATCACAAGGTCAACAGATCGAGACCATCCTGGTCAACATGGTGAAACCCCGTCTCTACTAAAAATTACAAAAAATTAGCTGGGCATGGTGGCGCGTGCCTGTAATCCCAGCTACTCAGGAGGCTGAGGCAGGAGAATTGCCTGAACCCAGGGGGCGGAGGTTGCGGTGAGCCGAGATTGTGCCATTGCACTCCAGCCTGGGTAACAAGAGCGAAACTCCGTCTCAAAAAAAAAAAAAAAAAAAAAAAAAAAACTGACTCAAAGAGACCTGGCTTCAGAAATTACAGGCATGATATTAGTAGCCAGTGACAAAGATCTGGTCAGTTTTGATGTTTTGTTGCAGTCCAAATGAAGATTTGAAAGCTAAGAGAGAGAAGCCGTGTATTAAATGTCTGAGTATTCTCTTCAAGCACAACTTTTCTATTCCAGAGAAGTTCTTTCTCACACTAGTCTGTTAAGATTTTTCTCTTTACCAGAAATAGATATTAAGTTTTATTAAATGCTTTTTCTGAATCTACTGAGGTGCTCATAACTTTTTTTCTCATTGAATCTGTTAATGTTGGCTATTCATAGATTCGTTTTTGAAACATACTTACATTCCTGGGACCAATGCAACTTTTCTTAATAATCAAACTTCCAGAAAATTGTCTCAATAAATAGAAGAATGAAAAGATGGAGAAAGATAAAATGAGGAAAAAGAGGAGAAAGACAAAAAGAATATGGAAAATGGTTATTTCCATCCACCTCATCGCCTTCCTCCAAGTGGGGCATTTTAGAACCAGAGTATATAAAGTGTGAGATGCCTTATCAGGAAAAGGGGAACTGGGCGTTGTTCTTTTTTCTCTTTCTCACTTTTGGCCACTGCATCCTTGTAGGAGGAATTTGGTTTCTAACACCCCAAGGTAACCTTGCATTTTAGGAGTTAAGTATCTGTGAAAGGGTTTGGGAGGGGAAAGAGAGAGGTTATCAGAGAAAGCCTTAATGAGACCATCAGTGGGAACTAACCGCTGTGAATTTAGAAAAGGAGGAGGTTTAACGGCACTCTGGAGAAGACAGATTATAAAGGGTACTGGAGAAAGAAGATGTGGGTTCCAAATACAGTTTAAAGAATGATGTGGACCACTTTTTCAGAAATGCGAATTTGTCGGTTTATTTATTTAAAAAATAGAACATATTTAGTATTTTACTATTTCTTTGTTATTATCAATGAATAAAAAGTGCTTTAAAAACTCCAGAAAGTTGAATGTTCACAGGGAAGCTATAGGATGGGGGGAGGTGAAGGAGGGAGGATATTATTAGATTTGGAAAGGACCCTAATTATTATACAGGGGATTCATAGAGCTCCTCTGAGAGAGAGAGAGAGAGAGAGAGAGAGAGAGAGAGAGAGAGAGAGAGAGAGAGAGTCCCTTGAAGGAGAAGTAGGTAGGTTATTTAGGGAAAGAAATATCAAGCAACCAGGGCTCCATCCTCCACTTTCCATCAATCAGGAAAGACCTTTTTTTCACCTGTTTTATATATTCAGCTTCTAAGTCATGCTCTTTTTCAAAGAAAAAAATTCACTGTTTTAAAAAAAAATTGTTTAGGAATTTTATCTAAAAATACCTTTTGTTAAGGTTAGAACCAGATTTTTCACGTTTCCTTCTGTTTCAGTCATTTCTTTTTTTCTTGTTCCGTTGAGTTATATCTTATTCAAATACGGTATAGCTAGTTCAGTAAATGTGAGGTCCAAGCTGTTTACAACCAGATCCAGATTTCTGGGATTTAAAATATTCCTTTGGCCTCCATTAGTTGCTGGGTTTTTTTTTTTTTTTTTTTAACTTTCTAGAAAGCATTCTGCTACTTTTACATCATACCCTGAAGCCCTCCTCCCTATTCAGTTATTGTATTCAGTCCCACAAATAAAAGAATGTGCTGAGGAAGCTCTTCAAACCTCTAACTGATCTACATCATAAAAGAAGGTTCCTTAACCTCGGTGCTTTAGGAAAGCTAAGTAACTGACATTCACAGCCTGCAGGTGTTAGCTCCCAGTCCTCCCAGCTGTGTTCCTGTATGGTATACAAAAGTATTCAGGAGTTCCTGTTAGTTCAGTCAATCAACACATATTTACTGAGTGTCTGCTGCAAGCTAGACGCTCATCTCCTCTAGCTGACGGTTAGGGCCACCTTTCAGCTTCCTAGACTGGACGCCCTTATATGAGAGCCGCCTCATTCTAGTGAGGCCACAAGGAAATGCAGTGTAAAATAACTGTTCGCGTTTTTCTTTTTTTACTTTCTAGAAAGCGTTCTTCTACTTTGGGTTTTTGGGGGGTTGGGTTTTTTTCCATTCAACAACAAATCTTCCAGTCCCTTCTATGTAAGAATCCCAGAGCAAAGTGCTAGAGGACAAAGTGAAGATCAAGACTGACAAGTTTATTTTCTAACAGGGAAAGCAGACAAAAAAAAAAAGCACCCAAATTTTTAATATAAGATGTGGTATGACAGGATGATAGGTAGTGATTAGCACTGAGAAGGAAAAGAAAGCAGAGAAAGCAGGTAGACAGAAATTGTTGTTTTACATAAACATATTAGGGGAAGACTTCTCTGAGATGTGGCATTTAGGTAGACACCTAAATCGATGGGAAAGAAGTCAAACCCTGGAGGGAAAGGATTAGAGGCAGAGGAAACAGCAAACTAAGAGGCTTCAGGTGGGTGTCAGCCAGGTTGGTGCGAAAGGCAGCAAAACGACAAGTGAAAGTGACAGAATGGAGTGAAATTATGTCTGTTGTGCCTGGGATCCTGATGAGCAAAAGCGATTTCAGGCTTTCTCCTTCAGTAGCGCTTCGGATAAACCTTTGGGGTATCATCTAGAATGTCCCTCTCTCTCTTCCACTTGGTAGAATGTTTCCGGAACCCGGCTGCACATTAGAATAGTCGGAGGGGTTGTTTTGCTTTGCTCTGAAAGATCAGTATCCAGGGTTCCATCCCTCCCCCCAAACCTCCCAATATTATTATTTATCTGGAGTGAGTTCAGGCATCATTCATGTTTTTAAAACTCCCCAGGTTATCCTAATACGTACACGTGACCGGGGGCCTTTGATATATAGTCAACAAGTATTAGCTGATAGATGCCATACATCTGGCCTCCAGGAGGTGCTTATAATGGAATATAACTGGGCAAAAATAAATAAATAAATAAAGCAGACAAATTTTAAGGTTCATTGGAAGGGAAAATGTATTATAGATGTTCAGAAGTCTAAACCCTGTTCTGGTTTAGAGAAAGCTGTTATATGAAGGAAAGTGGTTTCTGGTGAATTACTCTGAACACATAAGCAGAGTAATGAGGCGGTTTGTGCCATTCTCGAGCAGACTTGCTTGGTTGAAAGCATTTTTCAATGTATCAGGCCAATTAAGGACATTTTTATTCAAGCCTAGTCTAATCCAGCCATGAGCCTGATATTATTCACCGGTGAAGGATGTGGCTGGAATGACATGTTTCTTTCAGCCATGGTAAGCTCCGCACCAGGTAGACCATCTTAGGGCCCTATGGGGCGAGCTGGCCGAGAAAGCTACCGTTCCTGTTGCGACACCGCCATCGCGTGGCCACAAGTAAAAATGGCAGCCATTTTGCAGACTCGCAAATGCCCCTGGGGTTTGTCCTGATTATTTTCACAGAAAAGGACCAGGCATATCATGCTCTTCCTAAGGTGTATGTGCATTCACCATAAGAGTTCATAATGTTTATGCAGGTCCATACTAATTAAAGCCTTCCCTGATACCAAGACCATCGAAACTGTGAGTAAGCACACATCTGCTGTGTGCTAAATAGTGATTCGATATGCATATGATTATTACTGAGCCTTGCTTTTAGAGATCGGCAGAAAAATCCACTTATGAAGAGAGAAACAAATATCAGAAAACTCTTTTTTTTTTTTTAATTGATCTCTCGCTTTTTCACCCAGGCTGGAGTGCAGTGGTCCTATCAGAGCTCGCTGCAGCCTTGAACTCCTGGACTCAAGTGCCCAGCTACTTTTTGTTTGTTTGTTTCGTTTTGTTTCGTTTTGTTTTGTTTTGTTTTACTCAATACTTCAAGAATAAGTTTGTTTTGTAGAGATGAAGTCTCACTACGTTGCCCAGGCTGATTCTGAACTCCTGGCCTCAAACTTTCTAACCATTTCAGCCTCCTAAAGCTTTGGGACTACAGGTGCAAGCCACTATGCCCAGCCTGAAAACATTTTTTAAAGGAGGCTTTTGATGGGAAACTACTAACAAGTTTCTAATGGCAAGAGGAGCTGCTGTGTATGTTCAAACAAATTACCCAACTCTTAATGACCTAAACTGTAAGCTAAATAGCAGATGTTGGGATTCAAAGACAGATTCGAGTTTACCTAAGCAACTCTGCAGTTGTATAGAAGAAAGTGAAGAATGATTTACTTAAAATGGTTCATGTTTTTAAAAGTGAATCATAGTGAAAGAGAAATTTTATTCCAACCCCTCCTTTCTGTGTTGTTAGATAAGCGAAAAAGAAGCCAGTGTTTCTCAGTTTGGGCCACACATTAGCTTACCTGTAGATTCTCGTTTTAAATATCCTGATGCCCAGGTAACATTCTCAACCACTTAAATCAGAACTTCCTCAGATGATACTTTGTGAGCTGTGTTTGAGGAACCACTGAGCCAGAAGCTTCCTATGCTTGTGATTTGTCGCTACATCATGATTACATATATCATCAGCAGGGCACCTCTTTCCTCTTCCTATATTCACCTCTTAACTGTTTTTGACTGTCATTTACCCTTCAAGACTCCTCTGTTGATGTTTATTTTCATCAGACTTCATAATGGTTGGAGGGGTGTAAAGAAGCTTAAAATAGTGACCTGGAACTTGCCTCATAATTTCTGATTTCTGAATCGTTTAGTCCACTACACTTTGAGACATCTAAGGTGTCATGTATTATTTCAAATTGCGTCTTCAGAATCTAATGTGCAGAAAAGACTCAATAAATATTAAATGAATGATCTTGTCAGCCAGACAGCACCCAATTGACTTGCCACGAAACTCTAAAAGATGATTTGTGAAGCAAAGAGAAGAAGGAGCTATGAAGGGAAGTGGCGTCAGGGGTGAAATCTGAGCCAGTGAGTACTTCAGAATCGGAAGCACTTAAAACTCACAAAGAAAAAATAGCATGGTTGTGTTACCTGAAATCCCCAGATCACAGACCGCTAAATTGATAGTCATTATTTCAGCGGGCCTCAGCTTCTTCTTTCGTCTAGAAGACATATAAAGGACATATCCATTTCCAAATGTGGACAGAATCCCTACAAGGAAAAATAAAAATTCCCATCGTTAAAACTAGGACTTAGAGCTCACTCAGATATGAAACACTTCTCAACTTCAAAAATGGACACCATAGATTTAGAGGGTAGTGAAAGGACTCTAAATAAAAAAATCTAAATTAAGAAGATGAAATAAAAGGCATGAGTTGTGAGTGACAGGCCAATGGGGCAGAGTCGGGGATTATAAGACTGAACTTACCCAGAAAAAGGCACTAACTTCCCAGTGAGGCTCAGGAAAGTGTGGGAATCCCAATGGTCAGTTCTTGTACTGGCCCCCAGGGTGGAGTACTTTCCTCAGCCATTTTTATAGATTATTGGCTTTATAGAACTCCCTCCCTCTGAGAAGTAGGGTTAAACCCTTAGCTCTTGACAAATTCTGAAGATGAAGCCAACCAAAGGAGTTGCCTTCGGTATCACTGTGAACTCCTAAGAGAGCACCAGTGTTCAGGAGAGGCAGAGGCCAGGTACCACTGGCGTAACTCCCTTCAAGAAAATGGACATCTCCCAGGGACGTCCCAGGACTTTCACCTCTTCGGGAGATGTGGACACTGAGTGTCTGGCAGATAGGACAGCCTTCAGCTGCTACTGGACTAAATATCAAGGGTAAGTAGGTGACAATCGAGAACCTGGCACTGTCCCTCCCACCAAGGGGAGAGAAAGTGACCCTCAACCCACGAACCTACCAACAATGCCATAATTGTGTTCCCACTTTTTCATATCTTTTTATTAATGACTAATTGGCTTTGGCATTACAATGAAACTGTTTGAAAGTTCTTACAAACCCAGTTTAAATCCAAAAAGACCCAATCCCTACTGACTTTATTTAAGAAAAGAATACACCTACTTCCATAGCTTAACATGTAGAGTAGATTTCTTCAGGAATTCTTGCTTCATAGTGTAGCTGTGTATAAATGAGAATCTGGTACAGCTGCCTTTAGTAGTAAGGAATAAGGAGAGTATTAACAGGAGAAACCCAGAGTTTTCTATTTTAATTTCTACTTCTCCACCACAATTCATTTGGGGGCAAAGAAAGAAATGTGTGATTCAGCTGATGGTATGAAACCACCAGGAACTAACTGCATTGTGCTCAGGAAATTCTGACTCCCTGGAGTCAGTGCTGCTTCATGGTCCATTAAAACCTCTTTAGCTTTCTTAAAGTGGAAAAGAAAAATAACAGAGATTATGGAGTTCTAGAGCAAACCAACTACAATGAAACTTAGGTCTCATTCAAGGAAACCAGCCAGGACAGCCCATTGCGAAAGTAAAATGTGAAAACATGGCTTGAAAAATTATAAACTTAATGCCACCTACTTTGTATCCACAAAGATTAAAAGCAAGTATGCATATGCATTTGATACACAAGGCTCCTTTAAACAAACTTCACCTGTCTGCATCTCTTTGAGAATATTATTTTCCTTCCTTAAATTGTTTTTACCAACTCTGCTTCGTAAGGTTTCACCCAGTAGCCAAAGCATTATCAAAAAAATAGTCATCTCTCTATATTTTGCATGTTAATTATTCCCACAAGCAATGTAAAGAAGTTATAGATGAGGGTCAGGAGAAAACCAATTTATTCTTAATGTTAGTGAAAAGACAACCAGATTAAGAAGATAAAGACCAAAGTGGGGAGATTTTAGATTATCAAATCCTATATCATTTATGGATACAAAAATATCATATATATTAACTGTTAATAAATGTGGTTTTTACAATAATCGTAAATGTACAGAAGGTGGAAAATGGGTTTGTAATTTATTTCTCCTGTATTTCAAATTCAGATTTATGTTGTTATCTTTCAATTGTCTGTTAAGACTTCTAGTATTTAGCAAAGCCCACCAAGAATGTTAAATTCACTCTGGCTCCTTAAAAGCAATCTGGGCACACACATCTTGGCCAGGCACAATGGCTCACACTTGTAATCCCAGCATTTTGGGAGGCTGAGGTGGGCAGATCACTTGAGGCCAGGAGATCGAGACCAGCCTGGCCAACATGGCAAAATCCCATCTCTACTAAGAAATACAAAACTTAGCCACGCATGGGTGGTGTACACCTGTAGCCCCAGCTACACAGGAGGCTGAGGCATGCGAATCATTTGAACCTGGGAGGTGGAGGTTGCAGTGAACTGAAATCGCATCACTACACTCCAACCTGGGTGACATGGTGAGACTTTATCTCAAAAAATAAATAAATAAATAAATCTTGGCACATCTACACTAGCCTATTCTAGGAGATTGAAAACCACACACACAGCAAAGCCCAAGAAGGGGGTCAAAGGTGAGGCCACACCCCTCCAGCCGACCCCTCTGCTCACCCTGCATGACTGTTCTCTAACATACCACTGGCTCCTCCTTCCAGCGCACTGATCCTCCCAAAGCTCCCCCTTGTCTGGGGTCTCTCTTTGAATCTATTTTTCTGGCTTCATCTCAGCAAACCCACTGGAATATGATTGTAGATTTTCCTTCCAACTCCATGTGCATCAGGTGGGAAATCCTCCTGATTTCTCCACCCTGGTTGCCTCTCTTTCTGCAATCCTCCATGCTTAAGATTGGGAATGGACTGATGGGCCTCTCTATTTTGTGAAGTCTGGAGCAATCTGTCAGGTTATTGATGTTACTTTTTAATTCATTCCTTGAAAGTGATGAAGCTATGCTAAATTCGATTGATAAGCTGCTGATTTTTCTGCCTTTCTGGTGATTAAAAGTACTTAAGTTTAATAAAAATGAAATGTGGATTTTACAGAGATAAGATAGTCTCTCTACCAGCAGAATGTTTGCCCATTTTATTCACTGCTCTATTCCTAGCAACTTAAAACAGTGGCAAAGGGTGGGGGCTCAATATATATTTATGTTGAAAAGAAATGAGGACTCATTTATAAGAAACAATTTAAACTAGTAAACGCTAACAACAATAAAGACAAGGACCCAGGGAATCACTGTACAGCAGAATTTGGTTGAATCACATGAATTCCTTTTGCCTCAAGCACTGACCATAGAGGGATTTCAAGTATTTTCTAATGAGTTTTGCTAATTTCAGGAGGTTAAATGAAATTCTTAGCCAGTAATAAATAGATGAGAGAGGGAGAGAAAGAGAGAAAGGGAGGAAGGGAGGGAAGAAGGGTGAAAGAGAAAGATAGAAACAAAGAGAAAAGAGGGAGAGAGCAAGTTTGACCCAATACTTGAAAAAATTAAAGGCAAACAAACCTAAAGACATAACCCACCTTCGCACTGGTCACCCAAATTTAAAACAACAATTTTAAATTTAAGAAAAGTGTGGTGGTTAAATCCTAATTGTCTGGATTAGTGCTGTCCAATAGAAATGTAATATAAGCCAGAAATGCGAGCCACATATGGATTCTAAAATTTTCTGGTAGCCATTAAACAAAGCAAAAATTTACCAGAAAATTAATTTTAATAATATATTTTATTTAGCTTAACATACCCAAAATGGTGTATGTTCCACATGTATTTAATTTTTAAAAATTATTAATGAGATATTTTGTACCATTTTTTCTTGTACTGAGCCTTCAGTATCTGGTGCGTATTTACACTACAACCCCTTTCAATTTGGAAAAGCCACATGTGGCTACTGAATGAATGAGATCATGCAGTCTAGAAGCAGGTTCACCCCTTAGTCAATTATGCACAAAACTCTTTTGACCCTGGACTTTCTGTCATTTATCACCAATACATTTTTCCACTCTCACCAAAATGACTTAGCTATGCTGTCATGATACATTTTTACTTTTAGGTGAAGTAAACTCACTATTTCTACCATTACTATAGCACTATAGCACAACTGAGTTTGCTCAGCTGTGAGAACAGGAGACTGAACCAGATTATTTGTAAGGCCCATTCTCAATCTAAAATCTTATGACTATATCAAAAACATTTTTAGAAAAGAAAAGCACTCTGTTTAAATAAAATATCATTATCATTAATTTCGGTATTTAGAAAGTAAATTTACTCCCAAAGTAACCAAAATGAAATACAATCTCAAGAATTATAATTTTGCTAAAAGAGTTCTTTGGATTATCAATGGAATTTTATTACTAATAATGATAATAATCGTCATTTATAGCAAACATTTATTGAATGCCATAATGCCACTCCATCTTCTGCCTTCCTCTCTCTTCACCTCTGCTAAACTATCCACTTAAGTATTGAAATCCGTTTACAAAATTAACACATCAGCCCATGAATTTTCTAAATGCAGCCTTTGTACAGAAGAATTAAGAAACCTTACCAATTATTGTCAGGTAAAAGCCAGCCACTAAATCCGCTTCCCAAGAAAGTTTGGAAGCAAAGGGATCCCCATCTCGAAGGTAGTGTGGCAGGCGCTCGTCCTGAGGCAGCGAAGTGTGGTTTAAGGCCATTCTGTGCTGGAACCACAAGGGGTCTGAAAAGCAAATCAGGAGAGATCTCAACAGACTTGAATAAGCCAGCTTGAAGCATTTCATAATTCCGGCTCCTGTTTTTAAATGAAAAGCAAGTTTCCAGGGTCATGCATGATTCTCTAATAACTAGTACAATTCTTAACTTTTTTTCAATGATCCAGTTATGTCATTACTCAATTATTCAGTTTGCAGATTATCCAACCCTTCGTTTTCTCCTCTGTTTTCTCATGCTACCATCTTTGAGCCACTTCTTAGCTCCCTTGGTTGGATAAAAGGTTGAAGGCCAAACTGTCCATTTTACTGTTTCTTAGCAATTTTTGTATAGGTCCGAGCAGGAAATGATATATGCAGTGAGCACACGCGCACACACACATATAGTTATGTGTGTGTATATATATATAAAATTTATCAGAGCATAATATTTTTTAATTATTTATGTTGCCCAGAAGAGCATTTCCATTGCACATTCAATGAGGTTTAGAGTTTTATAAGGAAAGAAATAGAGCATTCAGTACAAAGGAACATGGACACTGCATTTATTGAAGCTAAGAGCCAGGAGACTGTCAAAGTGATCTTGAAATTTGGAGCCATTTAGAAAGTATTCAAGCTGGGTTGTAACTCACAGGCACATCCACAGGAAGGTTTGTTTCTCAAGTTTCCTAAAAGAGAAAGCAATTTCATTATTTCTAACTACTGCCCTAAATCTATACTTTCAATTTGCTGATTTATGCTTCGGGATGAAATCTTGAGCAATGAGGAACTTCCCAAATGTACAGGTCTTCGTACTGTTTCTTTCGAATTGGGGTTTTAAAAGGCTTACACAGTCTTTGATGGGCTCTCTGTAAAAATAAAAATCACACAATATCCCTTATCCTGAAACTTGGAGTCGTGTGTTGTTCTTCAGATAAAGCGTACTGCTGATGTCATAACTTCTTTTGGAAGGGTCACTCCTTTGCCATGATTGTTACTATTTGTTTTAAAAGGAGAAGAAATACTAATGTGGCTGTTTCTCTTTTGAACTTGTGTATTTCAAATCTAGCCAATAGATGTCACTGTTCAGCTCTCTAGGCAACAATCTGGGGCTTTATATCAGACAGCAAATGGAACACCGAGTTGTGGGCCTCACAGGTGGTGACAGGGTGATCAGGAAATATCTAACCATGTAATTCACCTTTGCAAAAGACATGGATTTAACCCTTTTGTAACTGTCAATTTACAGTTTACTGAGGAAGGTAAGTGACCCTTTCAGTGGCCAGAAACTGAGAGGGTCACTAACAGGCGGAAACTACTGTCTCCTTCTACACAGTTTGAGGACAGTCAGATGCTAATGTTCATTCCAACCCTTCCCCCTGAGATTGTTACAAAGTTGTAGGAGAAATCTTTGGCTGCTAGCTGCACTGTGTGCCAAGACCTACCCCAAGTTAAAGTTTATCTTTACATTTCAAACTCCTGATTCCCCTTTGACTGCCCCATCTTCTGATAAACTCTCTCCTCCCCAAAGATTCCCTAGGCCCAACTTGCTGTCCAGTCCTGTTCTCCACCCTAGATTCAGAATCATAAGATGAGGGTTGGATTCCAGCTTTTACACCCACCCTCTGATCTTGAGCAAATTATTTAAACTCTCCGAACCACAACCACTTCATCTGTAAAATGGGCAGTCTTTTTCCTACCCATCACTCATTCTTGTTGTAGGAGCAATAGGATATTGGATTCAAAAGCATATTATAAATGGGGGGGTCCTATTTATTTATTATGTGCTGAGATGCTTACTTTTCCCAAACTTGCCCATCCATCAAGATATAGCTATAGTATAACAAACTTGCTCAGGGTCCTATGCTGAATCAATGTATGCTTGTGAGTATTCACTGAACATCTACTATAAACCCAGCATTACGAGGTAGGATAATGGAGGTTTACCATGTTATTAGACTTCAGGAGGATATCTATCCTTATTATCATAACAAAATCCTGCTTTATTTTGTTTTAGACAGTTTTTTTTGAGACAGTGTCTCACACTGTTGCCCAGGCTGGAGTGCAGTGGTGTGATCATTTCTCACTACATCCTCCACCTCCTGGGCCCAGGTGAGCCTCTTGACTTAGCCTCCCAACTAGCTGGGACCACAGGCGTATGCCACAACACCTGGCTAGTTTATTATTATTATTATTTGTAGAGACGGTATCTCTCTATGTTGCCCAGGATGATCTCAAACTCCTGTCCTCGGCTCAAGGGCTCCTCCCACTTTGGCCTCCCAAGGTTCTGGGATTACAAGTGTGAGCCACCATACCTGGCCTAGACAATAATTTTAAAGCAAGGAAATAATTCTGTTTTCTGAAGGATTAACTAGATTGTGTGTATAATATCAAGATTTGTCCTTCCTATATCTAGAAGTACCCACCTTTGCACGGCCTAAGACTCAATATGCTAATAATGAAAATTATAAAACTTCACTTGAGCCCTCAAGGAGTTTTAATAAGCAACAAAAACTATAGAGAATGTTTTCGGTGAGGAAATGACATGAGCTAAGATTTGGAGGCAGAAATGGACATGAAGTGTAAAAGGGATGGAAGAAGGGTCGTTGCATGGGAACAGAGTTCATGATGGCGAGAAATGGTAGCCATCTTGGCTTAGCAAATGGGGTCTTGTTCTGTAGAGCCTTGCATGCCTGACAGAAGAGTTGCTTTTGACATATCATATGTGGATTTATTTTTTTTTCTAACACTGATCAAAATTACTGCTATTGTTTAAGTTTGGAAATATAATATATGAGAGTATTTCTAGTTCTTTTCAAAGACATAACTTAGACACAACTCTTCCTGAGGAACAGTGAGAGAAAGAGGCAGAGAATCCTAAATATAAATATATTGGTTATTTTGGAATTCTTTTTTTTTTCACTCTTCTTTGTATACATTACAAACTCATTTGTCAACTCCACACTTGACACATTTTTCCCCTCTATGTAATTTGTGTTTCCTTTCTTCCCAGTCTATCCAAATTCCACTTTACCTTTAATCTTTTATCCAAATTCTACATCCTTCAGAATATAATACTGGCTGCTTCATTTGCTACTAATATACTCCTAGGAGAAATTAATCCTGCTTAGTTTACTTAATTCCTCCTCTGGTTTACCTACATATGCGTAAAATAACTTTCAGTTCATAAAGAACTTAGAGGTACCAGTGGATAGGTATGGTGTTATTATTTTGTTGAGGTGCCATATCATCATCGATACGCAATTATACTTTTTGCTAAAATAGGCTATAGCAATGTAACCATCAAAAATATGTTTGCAGAACACTAACTATATTACTTAAATGCAACACTTAGTCATGACTGTATTTGTTCAGAGATATGTTTTAGAGAATTTATTTTTCAGTATTGAATGTGCCTGAATTAGTTCATTGTGTAAACAAAATAGTCATTTGTTGATTCCTTCCCTTTTTTATCTCCTGTATTTGAAGATTGCCTACCGCTCATAATGGAGAAATGCTGTCCTATCTACCTTCCCAGGTAATCAGGACCCTCAACACCACATCCCCCAGTTCCCTGGGATGGCATCCTGTGATCAGACAGACCAATGATTCCCAACCAGCTGCATATCTGAATCTCTTATGTACTTATTTTTTATTTTTTATATATTGTTATTGTTGTACTTTGTGTTGTGGTTACTCTTTAGATACTGTGGTCTGGGTACAACTTCCAGAGTCTATGATATTGTTTCCAAGAGAATCAAACAGTATTCAGTTTGTCGAATTTTGTAAGCATGGAGGCTGTCCTTTCTTGCACAGTATTCACGACACTAGTGCTTGGGAAACAGCATATAGGGGTTGGAGGAAAGTATCCTGTTTAAAAGTGGAGGAGAAACTAAATGACTTGTCAAAATTTCTGCTGAATTTATGATTCTGTGAAAGATATAAATGGATCCTCTTGGAGTAAGTTGCATGTGATTATTCATGTTAGCATAATCCTTTAAGCCATAAAATATACTCCACTGCTCTCACATCTGCTAATCATTGGTCTTTTGGGCCATGAATAAAGCTTCCTAAGACAGTTCTCATAACAGCTTATTACAGGAAAAGCTGAAAACATCTCCACTCTTCATTACCCATAAAAGTTTTAAATATATTTTGAGGCCGGGCATGGTGACTCAAGCCTGTAATCCCAGCACTTTGGGAGGCCGAGGTGGGTGCATCACGAGGTCAAGAGATCGAGACCATCCTGGTCAACATGGTGAAACCCCGTCTCTACTAAAAATACAAAGAATTAGCTGGGCATGGTGGCGCGTGCCTGTAATCCCAGCTACTCAGGAGGCTGATGCAGGAGAATTGCCTGAACCCAGGAGGCGGAGGTTGCAGTGAGCCGAGATCGCGCCATTGCACTCCAGCCTGGGTAACAAGAGCGAAACTCCATCTAAAATATATATAGTTACTAGATTTAGCCTTTTAAAATCCTCTATTGTTCCACAATACAAAATCAAAGAATATCTTGAGATGTAGTCAGAAGTTCTAATGTCCAAACTGAATGAACTTACAAAATAGGTGTAAGCAGGTATGGAAGAGAGAATGGCATAGGTTCACCTCCTAACAGGAAATAAACAAAAGAGTCCAACTCTGTTCAACTCTATCTAGTCTTAAAATTATCTTCAAATAATCTTTAGCAGTAAATTTCCCCTTGACTTGCTAAATTTTCTCTGGTTTAATGCAGGAAAGACCAAAAAGCATGGGCGGTGCAGAAAGCAACTTATGCAAAGTATCTTAAAGTGTCCTGCCCAAAATGGTCTTCCCCACTGGCTTGCTCTGGCTTCTGAAACTTTTGCCATTTTTTGCCTAAAGCATTATCACCACGAAATTTCTTTCTAGAGATATATTATCTGAAAACATGAGATCTGAATCTACCAGAATCCATGAAAACTTTAACATAAAGTAGTTTCTGAAATTGGTTACTTGAAACCTAGTAGAAGCCAGCAGACCTGAAAATAGGTGTGAGATGGTGCAGAGGAGAAAAT